TAGGGTGGACCTGAACACCTGTGGACAGGGTGGACCTGAACACCTGTAGACTGGATGGACTTGAACACCTGTGGACAGGTGCAGACGTCTGTTACAGAAATCACCTGATAGCAACGATCGACTCTAAAGATTGGGCAGGAAGGGCACCATCGTTTCATCATGGCCAGTTTTATAGGTTAGTTTATCCATCCATCCATCCATTTTCTTTACCCGCTTGTTCCATTTTGGGTCACGGGGGTCGCTGGTGCCCATGTCCAGCAATCACTGTGCGAGGGGCGGGGTACACCCTGGACGGGTCGCAAGTCCATCACAGGGACACATAGAGACAAACGAGACAAACAACCATTCACTCTCTCACTCACACCTAGGGACAATTTAGAGTTACCAGTCAGCCTAACATGCATGTTTTTGGTCTGTGGGAGGAAACCGGAGTACCCGGAGAAAACCCACGCATGCACGGAGAGAACATGCAAACTCCACCCAGAAAGGCCCCTGGACCGGGGTTTGAACCAAAGACCTGCTCGCTGAGAGGCAGCAGCTCTACCAGTTGTGCCACCGTGCTGCCCGGTTAGTTTATTTATTTATTTATTTTTGTCTTTGTCTTATTTTTGTAAGTTTAAAGTTATTTCAGTTGCTTTTGTGGGATTTTATTTCATTACCAAGAGTGTAAAAACAAAATTGTTTGTGTCTACACGTGTGTAAATGGTTTTTGAACATTTCTGCTCAAGATGTATGTTCTGTTCATTTGTTATATATTTATCAGGGGAGCAGCTGGGGAGGGTTAAGTGCCTTGCTCAAGAGCCTGGAGTGGGGTGAATATGGGTGCTCCACCTTTCTCGACCAGGTGACGTTTAATTTTTTTGTAATTTATCTGCCTGGATGATTGAGCTAACATACCACCCATCCTTTTGTTGTTGGTTCAGGGGTTTGAACGGTCGAACCTCTGATCACAGGCTCACCTTCTCTAATCTGTATTCCATCACCCCCACCAACACGCTACAGCAGGGCTATTACACTCAACTGCGCAGGGGGCCACAGTTACTCAAGTCCAGCAACTCAGGGGGCGGACATCGAGCAATTGAAGTCATTCTGTAAATAAACAAGTATTACAATGATCTGTTACCTTTTTTAAATGTATGTATTTTGTTGCATTGAATTATAAATGCAATAAACAGAACCCAAAACGCAGAACCCTAAAAAAAATACATATATATGAACCGGAATAAGGCTGCAGGTCCAGAAGGTGTCAGTCCCAGAGTCCTGAAGTTCTGTGCAGAACAGCTCTATGGGGTTCTGCAGCACCTCTTCAACCTTAGCCTGACCCAGGAGAAGGTTCCAGTGTTGTGGAAAACCTCCTGCCTTGTTCCAGTACCAAATAAAACTCATCCATCAGTCCTCAATGACTATAGGCATGTTGCCTTGACATCCCATATCATGAAAGTCCTAAAGGGACTTCTGTTGACCCACCTGACTAAACAAACCAGCACATATCAGGACCCACTGCAGTTTGCTGATCGGCGTGAAGATGCCGTCATACACCTGCTTCAGCAAACTCACTGTCATCTAGAAAAGGCAGACAGCACTGTGAGAGTCATGTTCTTTGATTTCTCCAGTGCATTTAACACAATCCAGCCTGATTTACTTTGTCCATTGCCCATCATGATCGATGGAAGAGATGGTTTGAACTTCCTTCTTCTCTCTTTCTCTCTTCTTTGCTCCTGCTCTGCATCCATGACGCCTCCTTTTCAACTCATTTGGGATTTGGGGCTGTAGTTGAGATTTTATTTGAGCTTTGGAGATGTTAATTAGCTGCTCGAGGTTGAAAAAAACAACCTTGCTGTTATGGTTACGCATCATAACAAATGTCCAAAAGCAAAGATATTTCTGTAAAAGTCCTTCCAGCTGCACGGCATCCGACACCAGACGAAATAATAATTTTAAAAAGTGATTTATATCCAGAAAAAAGAGGAATTGAAGTTTTCAAAAGTAATATATCTGAATGAAAGTAACAGAGCTACCACCTTGAGCGGCACAATTCTAGAATTCAACTGTAGGAGTTTCAGTTTTATTCTGCAGCTTTCTGATTTCCACGATGGCTCCAACAAGCTACAGCTGTGGATCATTCCCTTGACGAGCTCCAGGAGCATAAAAGGCTGCAGAGGAGCTCTCCTCCCTGCTGGAGCATTACATGCCTATACTGGTATTTGTGCCATCAGCCTCTTTGTGCTTTACAAGAAACAAGAAAGTATTTATCTCGTGTTCTCTTCGTGCTTCAGTGTCTGCTTCCTGAGATTCATCCGTTCCTGGACTCTTCTGTGAATCTCTGAGACCTGTTTGTGACACCAGCTGCTCTTCCAGCCAGTTGCCACCAAACCACCTCTACTCACCTTCTGCGCTCTCCAACCTTGTACTGGACCTACTGGAACCCTCTGCTCTTCTTTCTACACTCCGACGCCTTCAGCTACCTACTACTTAACCATTCTTTGATCTCCATCATCCTGACTCCTCTCCTCCTCATTTCCCAGGTCCTCCTGTAGGTTCATATTCATACATTGTAAATAAAGCACGACTCTTGGAGTCTGTTCTCTCGGTCCATATTCTCTGGGTAATTTGTTAAATGCGAGAAACCAAATAAAAACACATAGTTCTAGGAAGCACAGTTTATATGTATTTATTCAGCAACAATAATAAAAGCATCAACAGTATTGTGAAATAAAAAGCTAAATTCATTGTACACACATTGAATTAAAATTAAAACTGACATTTTAAATAATTGCACGTCCCCTCAAAAGCACAGAAAGTACATTTTCAACTCGTGCTCTAGATTCCTGTTAAATAGCAGATATTTCTGAGAAATCCTCAAACACATTTTGATTTTTTTTTAAAAAAAGCTAAATACACTTTTTAAAATCTGTTTTATAAAATACCCCAAGTTTCAGATTCCAGAGTGAATACATTTATCTCTGCAAAAAATATGAAGGCATTTTTTATTCCAAGCAAGACTTTCAATAAATTAACATTCAAGACATTTATTTGAAAAACAGAAAAGTTATAGTGTCCCAAATACCTGTTTAGTACCTACAGAATTTATCCTTTATACATGACAGAAAGTTGTGGTCAAAGGTTTGAAGAATGGCACAAATTTTGGTTTTCACAAAGTTTGCAGCCTCAGTTTTTGTGGTAATTTGTATTAACTATAGATTATGAAGAGTGATCAGAGGAACTGCAAGGACATGACTCCCCAATCATTTACTGAATCATGAAGAACTTCAAGGAGAGTGGATGCCAAGAAAGTCAAGCAAGTGTCAGGACGTCTCCAAAAGAGGACGCAGCTACGAGATGGGGTCACCACCAGCACAGAGCGTGAAGACTGGTGTGAGAACATCTGAACGCAGTGAGATGGATGTCTTGGTATCAAGAAGGACAGCAAAGAAACCATCAAGGACAGACTGACGTTCTGCAGGAGGTGTAGGGATTGGACTGCAGAGGACTGGGGTCAAGTTTCTATGATGTAGCCCCTTCAGAATGTTTGGGACATCTGGGAAAATGAGAAGAAAAGCTGAGCGCTACCAAGAGTCCTGTGAAGCATCCTGAGACCGTTCGTGTGTGGGGTTGCTTCTCATCCAGGGGAGTGTGTTT